TCACTCCCATCTGGCATCTCGTGAGATAAAACCGCTCCAACACCATAGGGTGAAGCATCACAGGATACGGTTAATTTCTTGTTTGGGTCATAATGGACTAACACTGTTGCAGATTGTAACAAAGTCTTAGATCGTTCAAATGCACGAATCTGTTCTGTGTTCCATTTCCATCTCTGATTCTTACGAAGTAGCTGGTACAGTGGCTCTAACTCAGTTGACAGATTTGGTAAGAATTTACCATAGAAATTGAGCAATCCCAAGTATGCTTTCAACTCGGTAACATTGGTAGGTGTAGGTACTTCTTGAACTGCTTTCACCTTGGCTTCAACTGGATAAATACCCGTTTCGTCGATACGGTAACCCAAACACTCGAGGGTAGGTTGCATAAAACGACACTTCGACTTCTTTAGACGTAACCCAGCTTCAGAAAGACGCTTCATCACTTCTTCCAGGTTCTGAAGGTGTTCTTCATCCGTCGGTCCAGAAATCAAAATGTTATCAAGAAGGATGCCAGTGTATGGAATTCCGTTGAGTAAACTTTCCATCGTTCTTTGGAAAATTCCAGGCGCAGATGATACACCATATGGCAGACGGTTGTACCGGTACAAACCACGATGCGTGTTTATCGTTACCACGTCCTTCGAGGCGTCGTCCAGGACCATCTGTTCGTAAGCGTGGCTTAAATCGAGCTCAGTGAATGTTTTCCCTCCTGCCAGTTTATTGTGAACTTCTTCGATCTTAGGTAAAGGGTAGGCATCCAAACGGGAAACTTTGTTCACAGTCCTTTTGTAGTCCCCACACAATCGAACACTTCCGTCAAGTTTCATGATTGGTACCACTGGCGTTGCCCAATCTGAATACTGTACGGTTTCAATTGTTTCTTGTCTTTCGAGCCTTTCGAGTTCCTTTTCAATCTTAGGTTTCATCGTGTATGGTACCGACCGAGCTTTACAAAAAATCGGTTTCGTTGACGGGTCGACGTAAATCTTGGCAGTCACGCCATTCAATTTGCCTAATTCGTCTGTAAACAAGTCGTCGTACTTGTTTAAAACCTCTTCTAAGTTAGGCTTGGCTAGTCGTTTGATACTTGTCCAATTTAAGCAAATGTTTTCAAGCCAATTTCGACCAATCAAATTAGGACCATTGCCTTTCAGCACCAATAAGGGTAACCGACTAACTTGGTTATTGTATTCGACCACCACTTCAGTAATTCCCTTCGGAGATATTTTCTCACCAGTGTAGGTACGTAAGGAAATTTCAGTTTGTTTTAAGACGAGATTTCCTTTACCGCGACTAATTTCTTGCAATGTTTTCTCATTAATCACCGAGAACGATGCTCCCGTATCAATCTCCATGTTGATATCAATACCATTCACTGTCATTTTTTCGCGATACGGCGGTGTTTTCTCTTTGTCTTTGAAGCTGAATAAATTATACGCTAGCTCTTCGTCGCTTTGATGCTGTTCAACTTTATTCATTTCCGAATCCCGTCCTTTTTCCCCCGAAAGTTTTTCCCTTGCTTTAGTCGTTTCTCGCTTGAAACCTTCTTAGAACTTCGGCACACTTTCGCTATGTGTCCAATTTTACCGCATTGATGGCACTTTTCAGTTTTAAAACGGCACTTTGTATGGTCGTGTTTACCACCACAACGATAACATTCTTTGTATTCGTCGCTGTGTCTACCGCCGTGTAATTTATTCATCGAGTGTTTATTTGGCATTTCTCCCTTCAAGTCACGAACATCTTTAGCGGCTGTTTCCATCCCGTGTGCAATTTCTAAAGCTCGTTTTAAATCTAATGTCGGTTCAGCCAGTAAACGTCTCTGTATTCGATCTTCGTTGACGCCACAGACTAATCGATCTCTCAACATTTCATCTAATGCACTACCGAACTCACAATGTTCAGACAATGCCCGAAGTTCGGCCATAAAAGTCGAGATTGATTCGTCGTTTCTTCTGACCCGAGTATTAAATTTATAACGTTGTACAATTACTGATGGCTTCGGAACATAATGGTTTTTTATAGCTTCAGATAATTCTTCATATGACAATTTGTTCGGAACCTCTGGCCGTATTAAACCTCGCAGTAGTTTATAGGTTTTCGCACCTATAACACTCAGGAAAATCGAGCGTTTCTTATCTTTGTCTTCGATATCATTCGCTTCGAAATAGTGATCCATTCGCTCCACATACTGTGTCCATTCTTCACTCTCGTCGTATTCATCTATTCGACCGTACGTAGCCATGTTACGCCTTAATTTTTTACCTTCGTCGCCAATATAATATACTCAGTCTCGGGTAGTTTAATCAGCACTTTATTGACATACGTATGCTATTTATACAAACTGTTATGAATATATTACAATGACTAATTAGGACAACTGATTAACATATATTACACAATCTTGACTATACTACATCTGGCAATTACTTCTAACTATGTTCTGACAATCCTTGCACTCATAGTCCTTGAAATGATAAGGTAATTTCTACCTTGTATCATGGCCAACGTTTAGGGCCACTTTCAGTGCCTTAGCAAGCTCGATAATTGGGGGAGGCTCATATTCATATATTATATTTGTGTTCTGCGTTATTAATTTCTTTTGAAATTGATTGTTTTTATGGACTGTGAATATGAATATATGAATATGAGGCCCCCCCCCCCCAATTATCGAACTTGCTACGGCACTGACTTTTGATTGTTATACCATTAAGTCTGATAATTGCACCACCAATGGTTCTGGTATCTCTTGTTTTTCCCATCATCATTTCTGTACTCAACTTTACAACATATAATATATTCTTGTTTATTCCAGAATTATCTTACAATTGGGACACCATTTATCACACAATTGGGAATTTGTCCTGACTCACCCTGGTTTCCCAATTAAGCCCTAGAGTGACAGCACTCTCCCTTTATGAGTAAATTGTCTGGTGTTAGACAGAGTAAAATAATAATGTGGGGCATATCAGGGTGCATTGCCACTTAAAGGGTTAATCTTGATCTGGGTGGCAAAATACTGCAGTACCAAGCAAGATGTATGGAAATTGAAGACACAAAAGCTGGATTAATTTTGAACCATTTTAATTGGACTTCTTCAATGGAATTATTAACAGTGAATAATTTTAAATTAATTTAAAACTAAAATGTATTATAATTACAGTTAATGTACATGATGTAGTGGAGCATGTCTATTATATTAACTTAATAAAGCTTTATACTTTCATATGTTATCTGCATGGTGGGGGGTGGGTGGTTGTGCAGAAAAATTCAGGGGGGGAAGGTGAGTGAGGGGCATGTAGCCACAGAATAAGGCACACAGAGGGTTGACTCGAGTAACCACTGCCACACCATGATTCATCATCAAAATGCTGACGCCATGGTCCTAGCCAGTGCACGTTTAAGAGGCATTCCCCCCTGGATGTTCGCCATTTTGAATAATATCAGGGGTGAATGCCTCTCAAACGCGCACTGGCTAGGACCATGGCGTTAGCATTTGATGACGAATTACAGGTTACGCCTAAATCATAGGAAAACCCAAGAAGTCGGCCTTCTGTGTACCTTATTCTGTGACATAGCATCCTGAGGAAGATTAAAACCAAAACACAATATACCAGACAAATATAAAAATATTATGTCATTTGTAATACAATGTTATGAATTGGATTGATCATGTATTACATATGCACATCAGCCTTTACACATGTAAAAAGAATATATTTGTTTATGTTCGCACAACACCCTTTTCTTTTCACAGTTAGGAAATATGGCTGCCAAAGCTCTTGAAAGGTGGCTTTTTACACTAAGATCATCAGTAACAACATCCTCTTGTTTAAGTCTCAACCCATCTGTTTTGATGCATATAGTCTTTAAAGAGCCCTGAAGATCTCCAGGAACTAATGTGCCAACATCACCTGCACATTCAAACAAGTGACTTATTAAAAATACAAGTTCCAACCTTGAACAACTTTCCTGCATTTAGTTCTTGCCTTCTTGGTAATCCCGGACTCTTAGAATCTGGTGTTAGGTCGTGTTTGACGTCAAATGGCAGTAACTTTCTCGCTTTAGGAGTTCTAGGAGTGCTGGTCTTAGGACATTCATCTGAATTTATGGAATTGAAGTCTATAGTTCAGAACGACAAAAATTACAACTTGAAACAAGGCAACATGGCGCTAATCAGCCGAGCGTATAATGAATTCCAGTTTCTTAATTTCTTTAGTATACGCAAATTTATGCTACGGCTCAAAGGGTCAACAAATTCAAGACATTCAAGTGGTAGAATGTATTATATTATCTTTTAGACTCACCATCTAAGTTCATCAGAGTCCGCCATTTTGAAGTACTCCAGACTTGACCAATTTAAGGCCGATATACTTGATAAAAATACGCACTTTGCAGAGACTACATCATAAAATGATCGATTTATGTATACCAATGTCAAAAAATCCAAAATTGAAGCATAAAATATTAGTTTGCAAGAAAAACAATTTCTTGCAAGAAAAATCACAGTAATCTGCCAGTCGCTAAATTTTCTTCTTTCGCCCTTGCCGTGAGCCTCTACGCGCCCACTTCTGGCCGCGCGCCCGCTCTTAAAGCGACTGGGGACGAGTCTGGTTACTTGCAGAAATAAGTAAATCATCTACCCAAATAATCAAGATAATGCACTTACTGGCATCACCATCAACAAACTTATGGTAGACACAAGGGTCAGCCTGGGATTGCATAAACCCTTCCTTCACCAAGTAGTTATGAAGTGTTGCATTCCAGTTCCTACCACTCTGTTTGAGACCGTACAGAGACTTATTGAGTTTGCAAACAAGTTTCTTACCATTTCCCTTCACTTTTTCATAGCCTTTAGGTTGTTCAACAAAGATGTCACAATCAATGGGGGCATTTAGATATGCTGCCTTAACATCCATCTGATGGACAATCATATCGTTTTGCACCGCGTGCTGCATTAATACTCGAATTGAGCTCATCCGAGCTGTTGGTGCAAATGTTTCATGGTAGTCCACACCTGGGACTTGGGAATAGCCTTTCGCTACGTACCTAGCCTTATATGTCTCCTCGTCGTTAGGACCCGATTTAATTGTGTACACCCATTTTCCACCTACTATCTCGCGGTTGGGTGGAACCATGGTAAGTGTAAATGTTTCATTACTTACCAGAGAGTCAAATTCTTCATCCATTGCCTTTTTCCACCGAGCTGAATCTGGTGAATTTACTGCTTGTAAATAACAAGCTGGGATGTCATTCATCCTATAGCAATAATCTATTGCAACATTAGCGCTACTATCAGTGATACTTTCTACAACATACTCACTTAGGTAAGCGGGTTTATTGTGAGTCCTGGTAGGGTACCTTACTCTACTTACTTCACCCTCTACTGGTGGAATAGCTGGTTCAATATTCTCATCAGCTCCAGTTTGTTGCTCACCGTAAGAAGTACTGCGGGGAAGTGAGACAATCTCTTCGTCAATTTGACGGTTCTCGTTATCAAATTCAGTTGAATCAAAGAATTTAACACATCTCACTCGTTCAACTTTCGTACTTTCTGGATAGTACACCAAATATGCAGGGCTATTTTTGTCATACCCTACAAAAATCCCCTCCTTACTTCTAGGTTCAAGCTTCTTAGAACCTTGCACATATGCATAGCATACTGCACCAAATACGTGCATATTATTCAGATTTGGCTTTATGCCAGTTAAGGCTTCATATGGGGTTTTGCCCAATCTGTCATTGAAGCACCTATTCCTTATATATGCTGAAGCCATCACAGCATATGTCCATAACATTTTGGGTAACTTGGCTTCTAACAACAAACACCTTGCCATATTAAATAAGCTAAGCCAAGCTCTTTCTGCTGTGCCATTTTGATGGGGGTGAATATGGGGCACACGTTTCATGTTTAATTGTGTTCTCTCGGAGTAGAGACTTAAACTTTTGCCCAATAAATTCCCCACCATTATCACTTCTGATACATTTCACTTTACCAAGAGAGGCAATATCTGCTAAAAATTGTTTAGTAGCTTCGACTGTATCAGATTTATGCTTTAAAAAATATATCATGATAACACCAGAGTAATCATCCACAAAAGACAATGCATAATTGAAACCATCCTTACCACCTGGACTAATTGGTCCAGCTAAATCTGAATGAACTAAATCAAATGGGGCATTGGCTCTCTTATCAGGTGTCCTATTTCTCGACTGGGTCATCTTACCTTGTGTGCATGTTTTACATTCCACTTCCTTATGACTAGTGATCTTCATTCCATCTACAACATTTTCAAGCTTACGAATATCTGAAAAATTACAGTGCCCTAGAATTCTATGCCACTCTAAAATTGTACCCGCATTATTCTTGGAAGATGAAATACCGTTTAGGTAATATAAACGACCTACCTGTTCAATATTAAAAACTGCACCATCCGAGCTCTTAAAACTCTTGCTATGCTTATCTAGGCTTATGCTTGCGCCCTCTTCTATTGCTGCATTGACTGAAAAGATATCCTGCTGATACGATGGGACATAAAGCGCATTATTTAAAATTAGATCATGAGAACTTCCGTTTACGTCATATAGCTTAACCTTCGCAACGTCCTTACCTGTCACAACCTTAGCCTTACTGCCATCTGCGAGCTCTATAATGTGCGCATTTGGGTCAAAATCTTCATCAAAACTTATAAACTTAGATTTATCATTTACAATATGGCTAGTAGCGCCAGTATCTACTAAAAGATTGTTACTATAACTCTTACCACAGGCACTACTGTCACTGACTTTAAATGTAAACGTATGCTCACTGTTCTCAGTCTTCGTTCTTCCTTGATCTTCGGCTTTCTTCGCAGAATCGTTTCTCCCCATATTTGATCGGCATTCCTTCGTATCATGTGTTTTGTTTCTACAACGGCTGCACCACTTTCCGTTTCCGTTCTTTCCCGACTTCGACCAACATTCAGACTTTTTGTGTCCCTTCTTCCCGCACTTGAAACAAACTCCGTCAAATCTCTCGCCGTTCTTCATGGCCATAATATTTTCTCCCGTCTCGCTGTTACCGTTTCTACTCTTCTCGCTCTCTTCGTAGCTACGCAGTGCGACTTTAAACTCTGCAAATGTCATTTGCTTGTCTCGTTGGACAACTATCGCCGAGAATGTCTTAAAGTTACTTGGTAATCCTTTTAGCACCATCGCGATCAATAACGCGTCGCTTACAGCTTCATCTGCGTTTCTCAATGCTGTCGCAGCCGTTTCAGCCCGTATGACATAATCAACGATACTCTTACTGTCCGTTTTCTTGAGCGTCGTCAGTTCTGTGTATAGTGAGATAACTCGAGGCTTGCTCTTTCCTTGGTAGTGCTGTCGCAATATCTCCAATGCTCTCGGCCCGTCGTCCTTTGCTTCGCGTATAACTAGCGCCAAACTTCTGTCGTCTAGGCATTGTACCAACTCCGCGAAAGCATCTCCGTTCCTCGACGCATCGGGTTCTTTATCACCTGGCACAAATACATCGTGTAATTTTTGTAGCCTCATCTGCGCCAGAAACTTTACTTCCCATAGTTCATATTTACTTTCATCGCCGTTAAATAGTAGTCCCCTTCTGGGCCCATAACCTGTTGGGTTTGTGGCGGTTGCCATTCTTTATTATATTCAATTTGAGCACATAAGTTTCTTATAGCTTTATTTTACACGACAGAATACAACTCACGCTTTTACAATGAATATACACTATTTACATAAGTTACGCTTTACGGTGATTGGTCAGATATTTACCAAATATAGTCATGAGTCTCTTGCTCTTTATCTATATGTAACTTAATATATCAATTACTAATAACATTACAACTAACAATTGTTTCTACTTTAATAACATAAATTACGTAATACATAAGAGCACAACTTAACATGTTGGGCCCACAAAATCTGATGTTTTGGTGCGACACGCCAACATTGAAAGGGGTGAGGGGTAGAGGGAGGAAAAAATGTATCACGAAATGGTATAATACATCTGAATGCATGTGAAAACTAGATTGTCCAATGTATATTGTCAAAGATTGTAATCTTTACAAAAAATTTTAGAAGTCGCGCGTTAGACTTTGTCTGGCACATAAAAACCCTCCAAATTTGCACCCTATATGAATTCAAATTGCGTTTCAAACCTTAGCGTAACAATAGCGTGAGCTATTTTTAAAGCGGTTTTGAAAAACAGCCCTAGCTGCTGCACTCGAAAATTTACTTTTTAGAATAATTTGGTGATAGGGGTACAAGAGGACCCCGAAATCACCCATGATAACATAAAGCTGTCACAAATTTTGCGGAATTTTCAGTCTAGTGGAGATTTTAGAACTGTCATTCCTTATTTGTCCATTGCCATCTAATTGTTTGCACCTGAACTAAACAAACTATATTTATAATGGATAACTTTATCAGTTGTTAACTAATTACGCTTGATGTCCAGCAAGGCAGTGGCGTGCACTTCGCGAAATATTGGAGAGGGGGTGGGGATTTAGGTTGCCAATATATGACCACCTTTTGTTGCCGTAAATCTTAGTTATTTAAACTTTTTTGCCTTAAATTTCATGCAATACATAGCGCCATTTATAACCTACAGTGTACTATTGTTTTCATGGTTGAAAAATTATTATAACAGCTTTGCTAGACAGTTAGTCGTCTATCATTCAAAGGCTTTAAGAAATTATTCAAGAAGGCGGTTGCCCGGCACCCCTTAGTACCGCCACTGCAGCAAGGATCATTCATCTTCAGGAATTGCTTCAGAGTAGATCGGTCATACCAAGACTGTACTGGAGTATAGTACTTTATAAGTTCCACATTGTTCTCTCTATATATTATCAGTGTAAGAGTTCAAAGTTAGCTGACACAGTAACCCTTATTTTCTTGAGATGCCTGCGAAAGAGTTAGATCAGTAAGAGCCACTTCTTACTGTACTTGTCAAGTGTTTCTACAGAAAAGAAGTGTAAACCTAAACTACAACAACTTGGCACTGGGATAGCTCTATGCCTTTATCAACTACAGGGTGTACAAAAAGGTAGACAATTTTGAAACGGCTTTCAATTTCACAAATCCGTTCATTTCATGAAATATAGATTGTTTGGGTACTTATAATGTAGAATAAACAAAAATGTTTCGTAAAGATAAATTTTCCAAAGCAGGGGGAGGGTGTCTTTTTTAGCAGCATTAAAAATAGTTAGTGCGCGAAATTTAAAAGTTTAAAACGCATTTTGAGCTCATGAGTGAGAAATTTGTTATGTGTTTTATCGATGGTCCAAATATCAGAAAATGTACTCGATTTAAGTCCTTTAAATAGCTGCTGAAACTTTCATTTTTTGGCACCAATGCTCATCACGAATGCTTAATTCATGCATTTACCTAATTTGCAAAAACAAGTAAAACAAGTAAAATAACAATATGCAAATTAGGTAAATGCATAAATTAAGCATGCGTGATAGGCATTGGTGCCAAAAAATGAAAGTTTCAGCAGCTATTTAAAGGACTTAAAATTGAGTAAATTTTCTGATATTTGGAGAAAAAACTTTCACAAATTTCTCGCCCATTAACTCAAAATGCGTTTTGAACTTTTAAATTTCGCGAAGCGCGAGTGTTTTCATACATTGTTTTCGAGTGTTTGGAAATCCCGGTGAGACACGAGCTCGAGTTGTTTATATGGCTTCTCAAATGAATCGAGACGTAACAGAATGTTTTCGTTTGCTGATTTGAATAGAATTCTTAACCATGCATAACGTAATTAGGAATTATATTCAAGTAATTTTGCATGCGTAATTAAGATATTTGATGAAAACACTAGTGACTTTCATCAAGTATCCAAATGGCATCTTGCATGTGATCAAATAGGTGATTATCATTGGCCGAATTGCTCATGAATTATTAATGATTTGAGAATTAAAAGTCTTGTTACACGTTCATCCAACAACTTGTCATGGTCCTGCATTTTTGTTAGCAAGCTGTCAGTAACAAACTTGTAAGAATCTGATAAAAGGCTGCATGAAAAGCGCACTACAAGCCCAATCTTTTTTTCGTAGTAGCCCGCTTGCGCCAAAACCCTGTTGCCCAAGGTTTGAGACTATACAGGTCATTCTTCCATGCATGTGTGTTGTCGGTTGCCGACTGACTGACCGACTTTGTCACTGACAAACGAACCAACCGACTTCATGATCTATATCAATGACTTGCCTAACTGCTTGAACGAGGGTTTACCTAGAATGTATGCTGATGATACGAACATCAGCATGCAAAGTAATAATCTTTCTGAGCTAGAAAATCTTATGAATGCTGAAATAGCCAATTTAAACACATGGCTAGAGGCAAATAAGTTAAGTTTAAATATTGCCAAGACTGAATTTATGATTATTGGATCTCGTCAAAGACTTTCAACCTTTGATAATCAGAATGTGGAAGTATGTGTTAACAATAAACAGATTAATAGAGTGCTGAAGTCTAAGTCATTAGGTTTAACAATTGATGAGAACTTGACTTGGAAATATCATGTTGATAATATCACCAAAAAAGTCTCTTCGGGTATCGGTGCTCTCAAACGAATGAGAGATTTTATTACCACAGAAACTGCAATTCGAGTTTACCAAAGTTTGGTGGAGCCCTATTTTCCCTATTGTGCCCCTGTTTGGGATGGCCTAGGTAAAAAGCAAAGCGAAAAATTACAAAAATTACAGAATAGGGCCGCCCGTGTTATTACCCGTTCATCTTATGATATTTCATCAAGTTCTCTTCTTGAAGAACTTAATTGGGAATCATTGTCCAC